ACGGACTTGTTCGGGAAGTGATTGTTCGCAGAAACAAAGGAAGAACGAGAAGGGATGTAAGACACGTATGTTTACTGAAAGAGACCCTAAATGAATAGGCTGAAAAGGAAGCCGAAGACGCGGTGGGAGTGTGCATTACAATTCACTCACCTGAATGACATTACTGACAATTTATAAGTAGTTCACTTTAACATTTCATCACGCCACGCATCTACATCTTAAGCATTTTTAGTTGTCAGATAAGTAACGTATTTTGTCCGTTGTAGTGGTGTTCAGATAGCTACGTACCAAAACCCTTATTTCTACACACATCAGTTTTTGCAAACAGCTGGCCTCTAAGATACTGACCGATACAAATCATCCCCACATACTGCTTCATCTGATTCTTTAACAACTTCATCTACTAGGCAGAAGTACAAGCTAATCTATGCCCGCACATAAGCTTACCGCTCATCAGTCATCCCTTACCTCTCGCTTCTTGTGCTAGACTTCAACTCTGTCATTCTTGACTTAGCCAGTGGACTTTAAACTGGATGGTTTTTGTCCTTATCTATCCGTTCATTGTGGTATTGCTTTGCCACTGATTTGCTTTGTTTTGGTACATTGTCTAGCTCGTGTGTGTTGTAGCTGAATATTCCCCTATGTAGGGTGCATAAAGCGATTTTTTGACTTGAATTTGCACATTGACAGACGTTGGATGGTAACCCCGATAATAATCCGAACGGACTAATTGACATTCGCATTCGTGTATGTGTTTATATGTTTGCTTATGTAACATTATCTATCTTTAACCATAGCCTGAGCCTAAATATCCAGTCCTCTGTTTTACTACGCTGCGTTGACGGAGCCTCCATTACTGTCGCTGTTCGAATTTGTCTGGATTTATTTTACATCAGTTTGAAAGTCTATTCACCTATTTGTGACTCACCTCTGTATCTTTGATTTAAATGCCTGTAGAACCACGGTTTATTCAGTACAACTTATTCCGCCCACCGCCCTCGTATGTTACCGCCCACACCGTGCGTGCGTTTGGTGATTAGGCTTGTCAGTCAGCAGTACCGGTAGTAGCCACAATATTTCTTTTGATTGTTCGACGTTTTACTGCTTACGTTTACCTAGGTTATGCATTCTTGTAGACACCCAACTCTGCTAGAGCCCCACGTTGTTAGCTTTGCATTATATCAACATATTAAACTTCCTTCTAGATAGATCCTGCTCTGATGGTCTACAAGCTGTAATAATAGTACAAATTCCTAGATATATTAATTATATCCCTTCTGGTTGTCTACCGTCGATCTGATAAGTTCGGTATACCAAAAGCGGACATTGTTTATAATACGACAGCAAGAGCGCTGTTCCCTTGATTATAACTAAATTAGTCTTATGCTGCAAAAAGTGCATAATTGAAGCCAATAATGTCGTGAAACTACAGCACATTTTATTGTAGTCGGAATCGGGTGTTAGCACAAACCGTCCGGATTATGGATATCAGTTGCTATTTCCGAAATCAATATCAACACTAATCTACCTCCAGCAATTGTTTTTCGTGAACGATACCCCGCGTAAATCACAAGTAACTGAAGATTAACCGCCTTTTCTCTTCGCTTTGTCTTAATCCTATCATCAATATCAAGGTCTTCTTATCTATGAGATTGCAGGGCTTTTGCCATCGTTTACCAACTAGCTAGTCAGTCAGCCTACTCGTCTGCCCTGCCGCCGAGTTCCGCTTACTGCCACATGACCAATAATGGGCTGTTTGTCCAATCCGCCCTGGTATCGCTATTTGTTTGTTTACCCGAAACACGTGAACAATACCTGATAAACGAGTACTAGCCGATTGAACAACTTTTCTGTTGGCGTATAGCAATCGCCACCAGTGTAGCTAACCCGTACTGTTTTAAGTGTGCTATTTTGGCAATAATTTTAGATTGAAGCCGACCGCGTTATTCCATATGACTCACTTGATCGTCAGCCCTCGGTAGCTCAGTGGTAGAGCAGTGGACCGGTAGTCCGTGGGTCCTCGGTTCGATTACACGTCGAGGCAGATTCTTGTGCAAAGTTTAACCGTGGCTTCTACTTTATACAAAAAATTGCACTACGTACAAAAAGACATCAGTAATTTACCATCGCCCTTTGAACATCAGGATGACAGATACTTTGGTTCATTGGGAAGTGACGAGTCAGTGAGCCAATCTACACCAGACAGATACTGTGAACTTATTGGCATACGTCACGAACCAAGCAGAAGTCATGTATTAAAGTGCGCACTTGATCAGCAACCCTCGGTAGCTCAGTGGGTCCGGGGTGCAATTCCCCTTTGAGACGGGTTATTGTGCAACGTTTAATCGTGGCTTCTACTTTCTACGAAAAAGCCTCAAGGTCCTTTACTTTATGACCAATAATTAACCAAAAATTTCTGGGTTTACAGTATTCGCTCACCTTAGCAATCTATTTGCCACAAGTCAGGATCCCGTGGTCAATGTGCGAGTCAGCGTAACCGAAGTTGGTACAGGCTTAATACGCTTGCTGCTGTGTATTCGTGACGTCGCCTTGACATTTGAAATCCGATTGTTCAGCTGAGTAAAAAAACAACATTGAAACAACCGAATTTAGCTACTAATATTTTGCCTAGTCTGGAAAACCACATATTTCAACATTTCGCTCCTGCGTACGGAAATTAGGTTAGATCAGTTGGCTGCTTTCGTTTAGACAAATTTGTGTCACGTGGAGTAATAATAACGGGATTTCTATCATTATATTAGAATGCCCCACAACTTGTCCGGAAAGCAATGGTCAGAAGATGAGTTTTTACATGAATCCTTAGAAGTACATCACGTTAGGCGATCACAAAGAACTCCAGACATCACTCGTGTGTTCTGCAAGCTGCTTCAAATCCAACACATCATTCGAGTTTATTCTCTAAATAGACAACAAATTACAGAGTTGGATGTGTCAACCATTACACTCAGGATTCCGGCAGGAAAATATTGCCTTTCTACCATTCTGTTAATAGCGGGTAACAAAGAAAAAGGTATTCGCTTCTTAAAGAATTTGCGTGCTCGGGCATTAGCAGCTCTGTTTGTCTCTAACCTTGAAATAAATAAATAAACATTTTATTCTAGACAGCGCGAGACTGGCCTTTACAAACTCAATCGTGTTCTGATAAGAAAGTACCAACAAAAATGTACATGAATAAAACATACTTCTCATAATAGTGAATGTGTGCTTTAATAGGTTTGTAACTTTGAAGAATGAATAATGATTAATCACAGGGTAAAAGCAAGTGCTTGACACGTCCCGTAGGATGGTTGTGGTGAATATGATGAAATTAAAATATGTCTGGGTCGTCTATCGAACTTCTGTCCAGATGAATAGTTTTATAATTAACATCAGTGTAAAGTCAAAAAATATCGAGTGTAAACGTTCAGAAAGACACTGAGGTGCAGTGATCATTGATGTAAGGCATGAGAAAAGTAAAATATGGTCGCTCACTTAGGTCCTTTTGATACATAAATCCAGTTGAAAAGCGTGCTTGGCGTAATCCACAATAGAGGAGTTTAAGTAACAAAATGCTAGTGGCTAAGAGCAACATCTAGTCCTTTTTTGAAAAAGTCCAAGGTAGGAGAGGATACAACTGAACCTGGGAGTGCGTTCCAGGGTTGGCAAACCCGAAGGGAAAAATTATTCCGTCGACACTCTAGACGGCTATATTGTTCCTTTAATTTCAAGCAGTTACCCCTGAGCTGCGTGTTGTGGCTAAGTTTCAGCAACTGGCGACATATGTGGTTGGGGTCACTCAATATCTGATACGCTAATATGAGATCACCGCGCGGCTATCGATAAAGTCCCAGCAACTTTCCCAGCAATTTCAGTCTTCGGTGGTAAGAGTAATAGCGCAAGCCCTGTACATTCTTTGTTGCTCCTTGTTGTGGTGCTTCTAACGCTTCAAGGTCACGCTTCAACTAAGGTTGCCAAGCCTGGATAGCTTATTCAACATGCGGGCGTACGTAGGAATTATGCATCATTGGGAAGATTGATGGGTCAAATCTCCCGAATGCCCTTCGCAGCATGCCGACGTGCTGGTTGCCTCTTTTTGCAGCTACCTCAGCCTGTTTTGAACAGTTGAGGTCGCTCTGTACGAGCACACCAAGGTCACGTTCCTGGGAGATGGTCTGCAATCAGGTTGTTCCAAGAATATAGGCGTAGTTATGTCTATAGCGCAACTGTACAATGCGACATTTGTTTACGTTGAATGGTGGGGCGTTTTGAAGTGACCAGTTCGACACTGTGTTAAGATGGCACTGGAGCCGTCCGTGGTCTTCCGGTCCTCTGATCCTTCGCCATATGTTGATATCATCCGCGTAAAATAGGAAATCGGAAGCAATTGATCTCGCCAAATGGTTAATGAACACCAAGATTAAACGAAGTCCAAGAACCGAGCCATAAGTGTAGTGTAGTGCATAAGTGTAGCTTTGTGGACTGTGTTTGTAAGTGTGCCGTTGTAGTTGTGACTGTTTTACTGCGTCGGCCATGTAAGGCTAGACGATTGATGTCCGTGGACTGGATGTAATTATCCAGATATCCACGAGGCAGTGACTTTAGTTTGTGGCGAGTCACAGGGTCGTTAAGCAGACATTTGTGGCTTTTTATAGGGTGGAAGCTTGCCAGACGAAAACTCACCATGTCCTGGAACACTGCCACCGAACTATTTGCTGGAACAGGTTACACCCGAATCACCCAGCTGGCACCACCAGGAGGTTGTTCGGCTAGCCAGCCATTGAAGTCGTTAATGGTCTCTCTGAACATGATGGGCTATTCCCTGATAAGCTCAGCCGAAATACTGTTACAGCAGCTCAGGTCAAGTTCGTCGGCTCCTGTATAGTTGCTCTTGTATATAGTTGTTTATGTTACACTAAACTTTTCTTATACCTTCAACAAAACTCCTGTTAGCACACAGTCTTGTGTATTATAACAGACTTGGTTTACTCTCTTCGTCACAGTGTGCCGAAGTGAAATGACTTGGACAGATGTGGCTTATCCATGGTCAGTGTTGTCCAAGAAACTGGAGCCCAATTGCTCCCTCCTACATGGAAATCTTGTGCTGGCTGGAATTACTAATGGTGAGTCAGTGAACTTTGTTGTAATAGTCTCGAGTTGCAGTAACTACTGAGTGTTTGGCACCCCATGATTGGTCTGTTTCAGTACAGAACTCTGCTTCAGAGTTAATCCCAACACACCCTTTGCGCTAACTTCGAACTCATAATCTTATTCTGAAACAGGTGCATTCCAAGGTCAAGCTAGTAAATAGATTTCAGACCAAACTGAGGTAGAGTATCACAAGCAAAACTCACAGTTGTTGCTCCAAAAACCTCTGGAAATTTCAAACTGCTGCCACCGAGAGACTAATAGAAGCTAAAATATGGTAGCACAGATGTTTCCAAGCAACCATGTGGTTCAAATTCCAATTCTAACGGACCATCATGAATGCAACCTTGGAAAATGGTTATTTTTTAGTAGGAACTTTACCAATGAGTAGAGAAAAATATGCTGTCATTAAAATTGTGACTAAGAACAGACCTATTTTAATAATTTCCATTACAGCTCACATTTTGTGCGATTAAATCCGTGATATCGAACAATTTGGTGGACGGGAATGTGCCTGTGAATTGGGTCGCCGGATACATTCATACCACGGACCGGTGACCACTGGGATATCTAACTATACAACTAGACCGAAATTAGATCTAAGTGTACTGTACTTCGCTCTGATGTCATTTACACTATAGCAGCTAAACTTTAACAGCCCTTAATGAACATTGGGAACCCAGTTTCTCTTGCACCGCCCGAAACGAATTGGGTAACATCTAACGAGGAACCCGAGGGGGTTGATCAATTCCCTTTTCTCGGCAGGTGCATCAGCAATGACGGGCGCATAGAAACTGACCTCAACTCACGCACTGCAAAGGCTAGAGCTGCCTTCTTGAACCTGCGGCATGTTTGGTGACAGAAAGAAGTTTCCCTTCGTCTGAAAGGCCGTGTGTACAAGGCCACAGTGAGGGCCGTTCTGCTGTGTGGTAGTGAGACTTTGCCCCTTCGGTCTGAAGATCTGAGGCGCCTTCAAGTCTTTGATCATCGTTTTCTGCGAAGCTTTGCTGGTGTCGGATGGCACCAGCGTGTCTGCAACGATGATGTGTGTAGGCGAGTACTAGGTAGTGATAATCATGCTAGCTGCCTAGAACAACAGATAGCACTGAATAACTTGCGTTGGCTCGGGCACGTGCTACGTATGCCTTGTTTAGTCTGCCAGGTGTAGGTTGGCGCAAGTCTCGAGTTGGCAAAAGGAAATGAAGTCACTGACGACCAAACTAGTGCCGTTGGTCTATCTCATCTTCCGGGCTGGAGTCCACGTGACTCGCCATGTTCTTGACTCTAGACTTTACGCTACATGGCTCGCTACCGGCACCGGTGGCGCGTCTGCTGCAGTCTCCTAATCGGATTGCCTGTTTAAAGTGTGTTTGGTGCTGAGTTAGCTGCGGGGTAATGGCTGATTATGACGCGTGGCAGTGAAAGCCGCAAGGAAGCTGTCTTGCCGATGCCGCCTTATCTTTGCACGATAGTCAGCTGTTTGCGACCGTATGAACAATAAAAAATGGACAATTATTTATCACGGGCAAAAAGCATGTGCTTGACAAGTCCCGTAAGATGGTTGGTATAAAAATTAAAATTTATAGGATCATCGAATAAGTAAATGGTTATTTCCAGCGTCCACCGAGTTAAATGCACTACTGCATAACGATAGTTTTAAGTGGGAATGAGATGTGCACACGCAAAATAATGTAGAGAGCTTTTAAAGTTCAGTAAGTGTGTGAGAAATAAAAAATGAAACGACAACGATCACTCGTTTGTTTCTCCATTTGACAGCTGTGGTATGTCAATCCGGTTTAGCTACTTCCAGGCTAATCACATGAACACTACTAGATGTATCCTCACCGCCAGGTTGCGGACAGGGCCGTTAAGCACATGGTTAGGTTTGCGTTGTTTCGTCTTCCATGTGGGACGGACTATACCAAGTAATACAAGTTAGAACACTTTTCATCAAGGCGTTTTTTGGAAGGCCTTCGTATAGGGGAAAGGATAAGGTCAGTTGGTAGGGCATTCCAGGCACGGGACACATGGAGGGAGAAAACGTTTCGTCGGCAATCCAGTCGATGCGTAGCCAGTTTGAGCTGATGACCTCTCAGATTGGTATTTCGGCTCAGCTGCAACAGACTGTGATATGGGTGAGTTGGGTTCGTTAATATTAAGTAAAACAGGATTAGGTCTCCTCGCGGACGTCGATATTCACCATTGTACAATCTCAGGGACTGCAGTCTGTGTTGATAAATGTGATGAAAGAATCCTCTAACGAGTTTGATCGCTGTACGTTGCGGAGCTTCAAGTGCGTCGACGTCGCGGCTGCGCCAGCGATGACAGGCCTGGATCGCACATTCCACGTGAGGCCTCACATAGGCGTTCAGCATTTGCGGAAAGATTGATGGCTCAAATTGCCGAAAGCCCTACGCAAGAGTACAAGATGTTGACTGGCCCTTTTTGATGCCTTTTCAGCCTGTCTCGAACAACCAAGGTCGTCCTGCAAGATCAGCCCGAGGTCGTTTTCTATGGAAGCACGTTTTAACTGCTGGTCCCCATTTCGACATTCATAGATAAGCTGATGGCGTATGCTTACGACTTTGCACTCGATCACGCTTAACTGGAGCCGGTCGTCGGATGGCCACGCATAAGCCCAGTCGCGATCGCTCTGCAATGCCATGTGATCAACCGATGACCTGATATCATGTGAAATTTTGATATCATCTGCAAATAGTAAGAAATTCGACTGAAGTACACTGACAAGATCATAATGAATGTGAGGAATAAACGTGGCCCTAGTACTGATCCTTGAGGCATGCCACACTGAATGTCAATTGGGTCGGAAATGGAGCTACGTATGCTCACATTCAGCTGACGTTGAGCGAGGAAGTTGCCGATCCAACCGAATATAGGACTACCGATTCCCTAGCTTCGAAGCTTGTGCAGGAGGACGCAATGGTCCAAACGATTGAACTCTTTCAAGGAGTCCAGATAGACAACGTCGACTCCCAATCTGGCATCGGCTGACTCTGCCCAGCTTGCTCGGGCTAGCAGCAAGTTTGTAGTGCTGGATCGATTTCGGCGGAATCCGTGTTGCTGTGACATTAAGATGTTGTTACTCTCAAGATATCCCATGAGCGCGTCTGTAATTATACGTTCCATTAATTTGGATAAAACTGGGAAGAGAGTGATTGGACGGTAGTTCCAGGGCTCTGAATGATTACCAGTTTTGTAAATAGGAGTGACTCATCCGCGCTCCTACATTGTGTGAACCTGCAGTTCGTCGATATATTGTGGAAAGAACCGAGCTAACGATTTGGCACGGTTCATGGCCGCTGTCCTCAATGCCTTCAGTTTGATGTCATTCACGCCAGGTGAGCTGTGCAAGCACAATTACATTAGCGTTTACATAACATTGGCAACCGTAAACGATACATAGTTTAACCCTGGTGGCGATGGAAGCTGTGTAAAAAGTGGATTAAAGGAGGATTCACTCCGGAATGTGTGTTGGCGAAGCACGTTGGCTGCATCTTGTGCGGTTTGCACTAGACCATGTGTTGCACATAAAACCGGGATCCCGCGCTTCACTCAACGGAGCTTGTTCACGTGTCTATACAGCAATTTTGGATTTGTACTGAATTTTAACGCCAAGTTCTCTTGGTGTTGGAGTTTGTCATCGCGGATCAACTTGACGCAGTGGTTTCCTTGAGTTGTGTAAGCACGCTAAGTCAGGTTACTTGGACAGGGTTTGTAAGCGCACCAGGCTGAATCCCTTAAGGCCATACATTTTCTAGTACGGCTCCTCAAGAATGAATTCACTTGCTTCGGGCGAAGGACTTTGCTTTCTGACGCATTTGCCACTAGCTCAGTGAATTGGATGACGAACAAGATCCAGGCGACAGCGAGCAGCTTCTCTGCCAGGAAGGACCTGTCGGTTTCTTGAGCGAGGTTGGGCGGGATATTATAATGTGTAGCGACATAGGTTTCCACGATAGGCTCACTGATGTACTCCGAGTAGCAGATGTAACAAAAGAGCAACATCGCGTAATCGTTACCATCGAGTGGTGGATTTGTGGTTACGGTGTTGACCATTGGTTCCCCGTTGGACAACACAAGGTGCAAAACAGAGGGTGTGTCCCTCGGTCGGAATCGAGTGGAAGAGGTGACATGGTTGTATAGAGGTACCACGGCGATCACCTCTTGCAAATCAACCTTGAATTGTTCACTGTGCTGTGGTGGAACTTCGGTTGCGTGGAGGCTAAATTCCCCCATCAGAAGGACTTGACTGTATAATCGTGCCAGAACTGGTTTCATCGCCGAAGATAAGTATTGAGCCATCCTCAACGTGGACATTGGAGGACGGTAAACTATTACTAGTAAACACACATCACCACGTCTTAGGTGCATAAGATAACAAAGAGAATCAAGGACTTTCGCTTCTGGGTCCTCAATGATATTAACATGCAGGTCGGATCGATAATACAGGAGCACTCCCCGTCCTCTGTGGGGTCGATAGTTTCGTATGGAAGTCATGCCGGGTAGTGCAATCTCCGCAACCGTGGTATCCGTGTACAGCCATGTTTCAGTGACCGTTACTAGGTCCCAAGGAGTGGAGACCTGACGAATACGAAGTTCCGTTAGCTTGCGGAGAAGCTCTTGTGGATTGGTATACAAGCGCGTGTTGGCATCTTTGGTCAGAAGCGTGTTTGTGAATGCTGGTTTCCGGTGAGGGTCTATGCCGACCCATGCGGGGTCGGCCGCCGGTCGTTTATTTGTAAGACCGATGACGCTGGCCCTAAGGCCAGTTCAGGTTGCTGTATAGAGCTCTCAGCGCCAACAAGAGGATGACCATCCTGTCTACACAAAGTGTAGGCGCCTTGACCCTGAATTTTTGCTTAGGGCATTAAGGTTTTCCGGTAAGTCCTCCTTCTCTCCCTCTTATTATTCTATTTCATAAGTCATCATATGTGTATGTCAGGGAAGCATCAGT